ACGTGACTGTAAATATTGACATGAACAAAGGATTATTTCACATTGACATGAACAAAGGTTTATTTCACATTGACATGAACAAAGGATTATTTCACATTGACATGAACAAAGGATTATTTCACATTGACTAGAACAAAGGATTATTTCACATTGACTAGAACAAAGGATTATTTCACATTGACATGCAACTATAATGATTAATGCTTGATCAGATAGTTCATTTGTTTATTTTAATACTAAAAACAGTTTACGTTTGTAATTGTTACAAGTATCTAATTTACATACACATATTTATGTACTTAAAACGGATATTTTGATTAACATTTCTAATAAAAGGGATCTTACGATTATAATCCGAACAAAAACGGATGTCAAAGAAAATTAAATTTTGTCAAAATATACCGTGTACATTATTTGAAAATAGTATAGGCTTTGAGACTGATGAATGCTTTTCCTCTTTAGATAATTCTATTTTCTTACGAGTTTATTAAAGAGTTTTTATTCCGTTTATTGTAATTTACAACATAAATATTGTGTATATTCGATATAAAGTACTCAAATTATAGATAATCGAGATTTAGTGCGTTAGTTTATCAACTGCAATAGAAGTATTGGAAGCATATAGCGTGACTTTGTCCTATTTTTCTGAATGGTATCAATAGATATTGGACAAATGTTAGGGAGATATTTGATTCCGTTAAATGTAGAGAAATATTTCTTTTTTCAGGAGTCGATATTGCTTTGCACAAGAGCTGTTCTTTTACGTACAATAACACAGATAGTTTATTCATAACAGTTTTTTACAATATCAAATCTTTGTACGAAACAGATGGACTATGATTATTAGAAATATCTCTTATTAGATACATCTTTATCTAAACGTGTCAAATTGGAGCTAGTATTTAAAAGGAATGTAATGTCAAAAACTCCATCATTTAATATTTTATTTTTTTCTGGAGGGATAACTATAGGACTATTGTAAGTGTAATCAATTTCATAAATGTGAGTAAATGATTTTGAATGTTATAGATATTTTTTTAGAAAGTTTTTGACAGCTTTTTCTTATGTCTTTATTAAAAATTTCGTGTTAACACCACACAATTTTGATCGGCAACAAATTTGATAATTATGTTAACTAGTAATGGTATGACAGCAAGATGATAAAATATGGTGTTTTGTTTTTTTACATCACATGTTTAGGCTTATATTAGAACTGAACTTTCTGATGGGACTAGAGTCTTTAAGAGTGTTTTGATTAATGTAATAAAATGAAAGTCAATACACTTTAAAAAAAGATATCAAGTCTAGAGAAATGCATACATCTGTGATCCTTATACATCATATGTTAAGCAAAGATAAATTGGAAAAATGTCATATATATAATTCTACTGCTCTTCCAAATCAGGAAAATGATACCAGGTAATTTCGAATGAAAGCAAACTGTCTTTAACATCTATTTGATTTCGATTCAGTCTCTTTTTCCCAAATATCTATTCGACATCAAATTACAACTGGCGGAATAAAATACGTCATGGGATTACAGATCAAATTGATTGGGTCTTTTTCGTCCAGACAGACAATTTTAGTAAACTATTGTTTTTATTTTTTTAAAATATATAAATGGGTGTGAAGGTCACTATTATCATTTATATACTTTTAATGTCAAAGACAGAAATTTAACTATGCTATTGTTTTCCGTAAGCTCTCAATATTTTGACTGCAAGATCATCTTCCCATATTTCTCTTTATGTCAAGTTCAACATTTCCATCTTTGGTGATATCGTGTTACTTCTAGAGAGATCTGTTCTTATAAAGGATAGAGTATCCTCACGCAATTTCCATAATAATTATCGTAACAAATGTTTTCTTGCTGCCTACCCTGTGGGACAATTTCTGTCTCCATTCCCGACTCTGATAACACATGTTTTGTTTTCAAATTCTAAACAATGTTGTTTTGTTGTTGTTTTCTTTTTCACTGATTTACTATACGAAAATTGGCCTTACGATTTCCATATGTTTAGTAAAATTTAAAGTCGTCTATAAAACAATATTATTTAACATTCCGAATGTATTATGACAGCAATTCCGTCGACCAAATCCTTATTTAAAAAAATGAGAAAATACAAGTAAAGTTAGGGGTCCTGACTTTGTATGTCAAAAAGGAGTTCTCATTTTAAACAAAGTCTTAATGATTGTGAAATGCTTAACGCATAGATTTGCTCAATATGTCCAAAAAATTATTACAGGTTTCATTTGATTTAACAAGTTTAAAAACAAATTTTCCTTTTTATTCGAATTGAATTTTCCCTGATTAAACGCTAGGAAAACTAATTATTAGATTATTCATATACGCTGTTAATTTAATTTCATTTGGATTTTTAAAAAGTATTCAAAAGCCAAAAACAGTCTTTTATCAATTTATAATGATAATACTTTATATTGTCTCAGGTTTGTGTATACATGCAATATTAAAATACCCAAGAACAATAAATTTACATAAACAAATACTACAATTAAATTGTGAAACAAAAGGCTACACAATGTCATTGAAAATTGGATATATAGATATATGCCGTTCAAAGCAAGGGCAAGATAACATTAAGAGGGGACACAAACTGGTATTTTGAGATAACAGTTTATGCTAATTGATTGATTTTTTGTCTAGCATATCAGATAACTTAATATTTTGTCATTCATAGATGTTTTAAGTGATTTTATCACACACCCGTGCCGACTTTGCGACTCCCTAAATATGGTATTGCACGGCCGTGCATATATTTTGACGTGACGTCATTAGCGTTATACAAACATAGTGTAAAGACGCGCTAAATGTTAGCGTTATACTGTAGGCGCGTCAATGAAAAATGACTCTTATTTCACTTTAAACGGTCTTTATTTTGTGTATGTGATAAATAGAATATTAAATTCGTGTAAGTTCATTACTGAATCTATTGCACTCGTTGAATGAAATAATATAATGCTCGCCTCTCATTCAATATCCTCTATATATTTGTACGATTATACAATCACAAAATTTAATTAGATTAATCGTCATTAAGCAGATACACTTTTAGTTCATATTTTATTGAAGGCCTTGTTGAAAATAAGATTTTGCATTATATGTGTTGTATCTAATGCTTTGATGTATTGTCTTAATAAGTTAGCTTCGTTAAATAAAGAGTTTATCATTATTATTATTATAATTATTATTATTATTATTATTATTATTATTATTATTATTATTAATTGTTCTATAATTGTCGCGATGCTTGACTTCCTCTCGTTCGAAAATATGATAATATTGAAGTGTTTAATAATAAATGCATATTCTAGTTTTATCAATGTGTTAATAAACGACGATATAGTTCAACCATTCAAATCCCCCACTAAATTTATCTATCGTTTGTATGTGATATATATGACAAGTTTATTTTAAAATGATAACAAATTTTTTACCCCAATCGTGAACAGTATAGGCAAATATCTAGATTGTAATTTTGTTGATACTTAATATACCATATATAGTTTATTTTTATATTTGGACAATTACTTTGTGTACTCAAGCTTTATATGGATAGTGAATAACGTGTTTTTTGTTTGAACAACATGAATAACCCGATTGTTAGCATTTATTCCTTGAATGGCATCAACAATCGTAGATGAGTTATTAGGTTTGCGTTCTATATGATAGTAAGAGAGTTCAGTATTCTCTATTGAATAGTGTTTGTTTTCTATTGTGACAATTTTGGGGGCTCATGAATCTTAAATTCTGTTATTTTGTTGTTGGAATACTCTATGGAACCTCAATGGGGTATGTCTCTTTTATATTTTTTTCTGCGGCAATTCCTTACAGAATTAATGTGTCTTATTAAACTGGTCTCGAGTGTCACAATGATCTTTCTAAATATGTAAAACGATATTGAATGTGTGCCTACATTTTATACACTACGCGACTGTTTACAATAATTTTGTTTACAATTTGTATACCTCATTGTAATATATTTAATACGGTCTATGCTGTATATAATGAAGGTTAGGGTTTCATTATTTAAATAGAGTAAGGTAATAATATCGCAACAGTAACAAACTATCAGATATTTATTGTAAGGCAGTAATAATAAACATATTGTGAGACAAATAAATATACTAAAATGTCAAGTTCTTGATTTTCACTTTTTATACCTTTTACTTTTTTTACTTTTGTACACATCATTATATGATTGTGATTTTTTTTGTTTTACAATATTCGTTTCTGCTAAATCTTTATTATTTATTTTTGGAATGAAATGTAGAATAAAAGAAGAATTCAAATTCGATTTTGGTTTCAACTTTCTTATGTATAATTTGATAACCTGTCGTACAATGGCAAATGCATGTAAAATGTAAGTTTTTGCTCTTTCTTTTTAAGATAAATAACAAATACTTATAGATTTGGTTTGCAATTGATAATATCAATATGCAAGTAATTTCGATTGCAATGAAATATTTCAATAATCATATAGACACTCGGTTACGAACTTTGAGAAATAATTATTGGCAAGCTTCATCAATTGTTCATATGATTTTATAATCAAAGTGTCTAGATCTGTTAAGGAAATTTTGGAGAGAAAAAATATTTACATGTGTATATTGATATTTAACCGTCTTCGAAATTGTTCTTCTTTGATTTGACTTATCGTTAAAGATAACACCCACATTTCAAAAGTTTGATTCCAGACAGTTTACCACATTATTATACTGGCGACAGTGCTGAACACATAGATCGTTCTTTATTTCTTTTTATTTTTTTTGTTAGAATATGTGACATTAATTTGTAGGTTACACAAATCCTTTTCTTTAGTTTCAAAGTGAAAACTGAACTCTTTTCGAGTTGCAATCATTCAGCGATTGCATTCCCTGTTGATCTGTACTTTTGATAGCACGTACACCTTTTGTTTTAGTGGAATATTTGATATTTGATTGCATTGGAGAATGAAGAATTTATTTAATATTCATTTCAGGTCCCTTCCAGCTGACTCTACAGTACAAACAAAATAGAGTGATAGATATCAATAGAGTTAAAATAAAAGAAACATTTTAGAAAACAGTTCGGTCAAATCACCAAGAAACTATGATTAAACCAGCTTGAGTGAGGAAGGCGGAACAAAATGAGAGGTTTTGTAGACGCACAGTTTCGAGCGGGGCTATTACTATTCCTTGTTCAGAGTTTAACCTGCTTGGAAGATATGGAATTTAAAGTACATAGACAGTGTACTCAAACGGTAAGTGAAACTCAATATGACTTGTGATTATGATAATTAAAATTATTTAAATTAAAAATGGTTGTTAGATATATTTTTAATCAGAATTGTACCGACAGAATTTGTTTTATTTTGAATGTCAAATATATACATTCGTTTTACATTACCGAAGACTACACTCTCTGTTTCTGTTTACATCTGAAACCACGTGGTAGAATACTTTCAATCAGTTTCAATTCCGAGGTTATGATGAATAATAGCCGAGGACGTTCCGATTGCTGGAAAAGGTTGCATGGAGGCGTTGAAATGGTATTATATTCAGTGCGTCTGCAAATGTCATCGCATGATATAAGTAATTTCATATATGGCTGTTTTTCTTCAGTACTCATGAAATATTCATGCCAAATAAATTGCAAGCGTAAACAATTTATAATATCATGGCGGTGTCACTAATGTAGATTTTTTACTGCATTTTATAATATACTGTCAAATAATATTTAGGAATGTGTAGTCATGTTGTACTTGTACGCACATTTTAAATAAAAAAAAGAATAAAAATATTCTTCCTATTCTGTTCATATTTTCTTTACGAATTTTATGTTTATATATCAAATAAATAGAAAGTAGTGTGAGTATGCTATTCTGTCGGATTGTATCACTCTCGCTGATTGTGTTAAGTTGTATTCTGACCTGTGGGAATACAACTTTATACAACCATCACGAGAAATACAACCCACCAGAATTGAACGCTCATGAACTATCTTCTAATTATATCGTTTGTTCATTCATTATTTACAAATTGAATGCTTAGCTTTCAATATATTAAATTATAAAACTGTGCATGGCAATATTTCTCGACAAAAATTCTCCAATACTTGCCAAGTTATTTATTTTGATGTCTTTTCATTTAGATGTATATTTTGTTTTGAATATTAACACTCCAGAGGGCAGATGTATCAATTATTTAGTCATTTTATAGTGACTGGCGCCGTTTTTGACGAGATACAATGTTTAAGGCCGACCTTGTATTTTCAAAATGCATTAATTTAACATGCATAATATTCACTTAACATTATACATAAAATTGTTGATTAAATTTCGTTTCAACTTCCATTAGAAGTCTAGAAAAAAAGGAGTTTAAGGAAGATTTTTCGATAACAATGGAAACAAAAGTGAAAAAAGGATAAAATTTTATGATTACGTTAGACTGTTTCATTTATCAAAATAGAGAAACACGGAATCCCTAAAGAACGTCTTAAATGACAAAATTGCAAATGTTGCCGGCCCGGTTTGATTGAGCCCGTTCATGGACGGTAATGGAATGTGTAAGTTACCGTCCACGCCCCCTAACATAGTTATACCTAAATCACGTAATCATCATTCTATGACATTTTAATCTAACAATCATATTTGAAATATCTGACTCCTTATGCCCAAAGGACAAGGACAGGGTGAGGATCAACTTTGATCATTCAAAATTTCTCCACAGTTTCTTCTTTATGTTAAATAGTGTTTCGTATCTTAAAAGTGGACTTGAAATGACAAACATAATAAGTTTTAGAAAAGAAACATTTGCATAAGAGAGATGGGCTTTTAGATTTTGATCAAAATATCAATCCTGGTCTTAAATTTATCATTTCTATGATAAGAAGCTTTTAATATTGCGAATAAGTACTGAAGCATTTTAGACAGTCATAAACAATTTAAGTTTCTCACAGCAACAAAATAAGGTTAACTTGAGTCTCTTCTAGTTGTGGCACGGGGTCGGGGTGGTTAACTGTTACTAAATACTACAATTAATATTACCCAATTTTGAAGATTTTACGAATTTTTGTTTACATGATTTGACTCGTTTGCTCCATTATTTACAATATTCCGCATAAGAATGGTAGTTTATTACAGAATATGAAAAAAAACATGGGAGATTTGTTAGGAGTACTTCCCGCATCCTTATGCTCGCCTATATATGGTCATCATGTAAGGTAATTGTAACAGAAATATAAAGAACTGTATACGAAACTAATAACAAAGGTTTACGCACTGTTTGTAGAGCATTTGAAGCGAAACATCATTCAATCAAATATAATCCATCCAAAGACAACGTGGCGCTTTTTTCGTTCTGGAACAATTGAAGCATCTGGAGCATTCGAAATAACATGGACCGATACAAAAAGACAAATCAATATAATTTCTTGAATAATTAAATGCAATGCAACAAAACTAGTTTTTGCAAATACGCATCACGTATTACATTTGAAGTGTTAACAATTATATCGATTCCATACCTGATTGATATCCATATAAATTATATAATCATAAGAAGAAAATAATAAATGTGCCATTATTTTCTCATCGAGAAAATTTAAGATTTATGATTGAAAACGTTAGTAATGCATTTTTGCCATGGCAAAATACAGAAAATCTATTTGCCAAGGCAAATGCAGACTTTGCATGCACTTTGCAAAAATATAAGTTGTAGAAAGAAAAACGAATCATACCGTAAAATATCCTTTTTCATAATATAACATTTTAGGAATTTTACATTTTTCTTTAGTACGCAGACATGGGGGTTAGTTTGCCTTACACTGGTGTGGCAAAACGAAACCGGCAGCTTTTATATGAAAATAATAGTGTTATAATATTTTTTTTCAGGGCAGAAATTCATTGTATTCAACACCAAAAGTCACAGTTCCTATTGTAGTTGACGGTATGTCTGCTTTTACCTTAGCTTCCCGGACTTTTTTATGTTAATATCGTAAGCTGTTTCCATGTGCTCTACGCCACAGCAATTGAAAATAGATTTTCAGTTCTAAACTTTATGAGACTAATGAAATAAATCTGTAACAGATTTTCTTAGCGTGCGCGCGCGCGCGCGCGTGTGTGTGTGTGTTTGCTCGCGTGTTTTTTTTTTCTTAAAAACAGTGAACATTTCGAAACGAGGCATTTATATTAAAACAGATTACGGTGCTAGTCAGCCGAGTCACGTGCATATCAAATTTCAAATCATCCAAAAGAAATAGTTTATTTCTGTCTAGTCTTATAATAGTCATTGCAATTATCTTAAGTGGTATGTTTTGAAAAATATATGATATTATTATGGATACTTTGATGTTTAACGTTTATATCAGATAAATAGTAGTTTTGTTGGCAGCAGGTGATGTATATTTCAAAACGAGGCAATATTTCAGTTGATATCAGAACTGCTTGGTTTGTATAAATCACTAAAATATTGCAATTAAGTTTATCTGACTATACAGTGGTGACATCACTGTTCATGCCAAATGACAACGCATGCATTTCTTTCATAACATCCATGTTACTGAAGATAAAATTTGTAGAATAAAGTTAGTTAAAGAAATTTGCATTTTTTCAATATCTTTAATTTAGTTGACTTTAGGGTGTCATTTTTCCATCTGTAATGATTCGTTGAAATCTAGTATTTCTATTGTTTTGATACATATTTTATTTATATTTTCAGCTATAGGAGTTGTCGAGTCTTTGTCCGAATTTCAACGTCTAAAAATAGATTTATGTCCGGACAGTAGATTCCTGAAAATTAGTTGGATCATTAACAGAACAGATGGTATGGTTAGACATTTAACCGTTTAAAAACACAATGTTAACGTATATAGCTTTAATAAAGTCAAATATGACAGTTACAGTTATTTTAAGTTATACATATAAATAACACTATTACAGCAAAAAATCATTTGGTAGTTCATGACCTTTATTAGAGCATTTTTAAACAAAATAATATAAAAAATTAAAACAAACGAAAATGTTTTGAAATTAGTAAATTTCTAGATCGGTTTACTGTAAACACTCATTTTATTCAAATGTTTTCCTGTATAACACATACATAAGCTATTGGATTTAGGCACAATGTTACTGAATATTTTCACAATCGTATTGTCGCATAGAAAATTTCTTCAAGGTAAAGGACAAACGTATACAATGGAAAGTTATATACCACTGAATCGGCAAAAAAATATTTGCCTGGAACATGCATATGTTTATTATTTAAATATTAAAAGGTTAATGAAAAATTAACAAATGCCTTTTAAGTCATGGTCACGGCCATGAGTGCTGACCCAATATTACCGCAAAAATAGTATCTCAAGATCATCCATCCTGATCAAAAACCATTTTCTCTGTTATTGAGGAAATCTTTCTAAATAAATATTTAGGAATAAACTGAAGTCTCAACGTCAGCAATGATTTCTTTATCTCTCCATCAATCATATAGACGACAAACTATTTTATTTATTCTTAGAATAAATAATACTTACTGTTTTGTGTGCACTGTTGTTTACTGGGCTTGCTCAGAATATTGTCTACAATTTAACAATCATTTTTCCAGACTGTGACTTGATGGTTTGCTATAGAATGGAGAACAATAAAGCTGAGAATCTTTTGGATACAGTCTGTTACAACCTGCATCTACATCAATCAAACTTCTCGTCTGCTATGGTAATAGCATTTTGTCGTACAATAAATTCTTTTTTATGTTTTTTTAAGGTTCTGAAATATTAATCAAATATTTTTTCTCGAGTTCTCGTTTATATAAAATGCAATATATAAGTAAATTTATGCTTTTAATACTAAAGTAACGTTTGTCATATTTGTTTTAATATCAAAAGCCCATTATACCTCAGAAATGGCGCCCTGATATGTTTTGTTTATTTTTCAAAACCTTTTTATTTATTTATTTTTTATTTTATTTACTTATTTATTTATTTATTTATTTCATTTTATTTTATTTTATTTTTTGTATCTTGTTACTTTTTCCAAAGAAAAAATACTCAGGATTTATGCTATATAGCATGCGACATAAATTTTTTATGTTTTTTTGCTAATGATAGCATATTGGTGTAATTAAAAGAATACGTAAATTGTAAGGAAGTCAAAATACCATTTAATTTAAAGTTTTGTACTTTTTCAACATTCTGTTTATTTATTCTGTTACTTTTTCAGTTAATATGGAACATCTACAATGTATTAATAACCACCCGTAGAATTTAAAATATTTATAGTGTAAATGTATTTCGACTCTAAGTCTTCTGCAGTACAAACAATACTTAAAATTTTAGGTTTTATATAGTGACTATTATTTTTTGAAAAAAAAAAAAAAAAAATCAAATATGAAAGCTTATAAACCTGCTTTTATGGCGGAGGAAAACATCAGATGCCCTTCGTGCAAAGCAGACGGGTCCCTAAATTGAACCACCTACCTTACTAAACTAACTGATCAGATTCCTAAAAACGACAGAGAAATTCTTTTTTTCGGACTTGAACACCCAGTTTTGAGAGGCAAACAACGATTTAAAGTCGAGAATTTAACCAACAGCAGGCGCAACAGTTTTATATGTACAGTTGATGTTTCCTGAATGATTCTATAATACCTTCTGTAATACAGTTACACTGCAGTTAATCTTCATACTAATATCTAGGTCGAGCTGAACAAATTGTTCATGCGCCTCATCCTGAAACTGCATGATAATGGATATTGTTGATAAATAAATTTCAGAATTGCTGGTTCCCGATGAGATTTATTGACAGGAAACCAACCATTACAGCATGGACATTACCCACGAGGCCATCAACACAAGGGATATTTTATGGAAGTCTTGACACAGGTGCCTTAGGTCATACGAAGTTTTGTTCTTGCAAGTGAGAATAAACTCTGTGCTTAGACTTAAAACAATGTTATAATGGGTCAGAAATTGAAGACTTTGTCTTTTAAGTCATATCCTTTTGTCAAACAAACGCAATTTATACATATTATTTGTTTACTTATGTTTGAGTCACTGACAGTATACGTTCCTTTGAGATTCCGTGTCCTCTCCTTTTTTGTAATTTGTCTTGTTTACAAGTAAATTTGCGTATGTGCTTCGGACATATATTTCGAAATCAAAGACTCAGTATTTACTAAGCATTTTGTAAGTCGACAAAAGCTTAGATCAATAAACCAAGATTGGTATATGTAATGGAACATTAATTTAAAGGTTGCCAACCAAGATTAAAAGAATATTAAAGTCATAGAATACCATAGTTTGCTTACTCTGCTGGATTCAAAATTATAATTCTTTGTCGCCAGTGTAGAGCCAGGTCAGTCTGTACTTCCGTACAGCTTGTCAGCTCAAAATTTTTTATCGTGATTTTAAAGTAATTGATCCTGGACAGGTTCAAAATTGGAGGCTGGACAAGACCATCTAACGAGTTCAGCATATTAATGATTAACATTGTAAAGGGAAAATTTAAAGACACTGATCTGACAAATATGATTAGTAAACTTGTCTCACTCTCTTTGTGTTACTATACGAAGAGAGTGATCACGAACATGTTGTCTCATATTTCACAAGCACTAGTTACTCGGCGCTTTGAGTGTGAAAATCATGTTTAAACTAAGGGTAACTATATTTTAGCTAGAAAACATTTATGAAATAATTTCCTTTCATTTAACAGATCCTGACAATACATGTTCGGATATATGTGAGGTTGTGGAAATGAAGGTGGGATCACAAGTTAATTGTCAGCATACTTCTGTTGTCATGTACGACTCCACGTCATATATAGAACACCTGTCTTTTCATACAAAGAATAAATCTTACTGCAACAATGGTATCAAAGTCCTAAACAAAGTAAGTGATTTAGTTTATACGAATTTACTTAAGTTCGATTGTGTCGGAAACAATAAGCTTATTGAAACACTCTCGAATCGGTTCCTGGATCCAACCAGTTGTATGCAATGAATGTTAAGTTTCTTCCTAGGGAAACAACGGCTAGCCCCTAAGAAATTTCATTTACGTAATAAACGTGATTGTTTGTAAATTACTAAATGCAAACTTGTTTAAACTCTTATTAATAGTACTTATTATACATTCTGATGGATCTGTTACATAATGAACAGTTTGTTTTGGAAATTTGGAGTCGCACGGGGAAAGTCGATTTTCACAAGAACTTTTTTTATTGTATTTTGGAAAAACACTTCGACGACTTTTCTTTCTTTATGAAGTCTTATGGAAAAGTACTTGCATGCCATAAATAATATAAGACGATTTCTTGTCTGCAAGTTTGCTTCCTATAATCCATAAAAGTTGCGTGTTGCCTGCAATGAAATTAGTCTTATTTTCACTTTCCGTGACAAAAGTTGTGAAATTGAGAAATTTACATAAATTCAAATATTTCCTCCTGTCAAACATTGTGCGTGAAAAATCACAGTTTGACACCATCTTGATTTGTTACAAACGAATCCTGAGGGATGTTTTTTTTTCTTTGAATTATTCTTGGGAATACAGAGACCATGCGGGAGGGTGATTGCATATTCTCTCAATATCAATAAATATCAACACGAAATCTTGAGAAATGTAGCAACGACTTGATGGTACAAAAAAAACCCATAATTTTCTTAAAGAAGAAAAAAAAATCGAATGGTTAAGAAACTGCGGGTTATGTTATTTTATTTTTAACGATACATGTATAATGCATACCATACGAATTTAGTGATCTTAACGAGTTTATTGCTCATGATTTGGTTTCCCGTTTAACTATTTTAGAAATGTTCTCAAATAATGTCTTTGTGTAAATACGTTGAAGTATTTGATTTTTATATGATTATTGACATTGTGGCATCACTTGATGAATTAAAAAGGTAAAGACCAACTATATTATTATTGAAATTGGGGCATCACTGGATGAATTAAAAAGGCAAAGACCAATTATGTAATTATTGACATTGTGGCATCACTGGATGAATTAAAAAGGCAAAGACCAATTATGTAATTATTGACATTGTGGCATCACTGGATGAATTAAAAAGGCAAAGACCAATTATGTAATTATTGACATTGTGGCATCACTGGATGAATTAAAAAGGCAAAGACCAATTATATTATTATTGAAATTATGGCATCACTGGATGAATTAAAAAGGCAAAGACCAATTATATAAATATTGACATTGTGGCATCTTACTATTTATAGAGTGTGGTAAAAGTATGATCGTCAATGCAACATTATTTATGAACTTTCCTGTAGCTCATGTATAGCTTTTCTTTGATATTATGTACATGTAATGTTTTTGTTTTAGACTGATGGTCAACTTGAGTATAAAATAAACTGCAGCTTTAACGGAGCAGGATTTATAAAGGTGAGCAAAGGTTTCAACTTAACTATAAGAATATGAAAATTTAAAGGTTGACACAATCAAGTTTGTTTTAGACACCTTTTACCAAATTATTACATACGCATTAACTACGCAATAACTGTTCCGGCTTTAAATCTAATTTGGAAAACTTTCCTGAACTGAAGGGGGTTTAATTTCCTGATTCTGTCTTGCATCTATTTTAAAATATAACTACATGTATATTTTTAATTTAACGAATAAATAAAGTTTCAACAAAAGAAATAAAAAATAATGACTACATACAATTTTCAAAGTTTACTGTATGCAAATATTAATCGTTTAGACATTTTTAAAACATAATCACTGACATCTTGTTTTTTTTTTATGACCTGGACCTTTGCAGAAATGTCGACCTTAAATAACAGTTCATCGAATAAACAAGCCTAATTATTCATTTCGGCAAAGCAACACGCTTTGGCCATATAATTATATTATTGTTAAACACTCGCATTCTTGATGAAATACTGGTCATGATAATTATATACGTTATATATGTATTTTTGTTGTTGTTGTTGTTGTTGTTTTGTTGGGTTTTTCTTTTCAATAGAAACTTTATCCTTTTTGCAGATATTATACCGTACGAAAGGAAAATATTGTTTAAAATACCAGATGGTCAATGTTGTTTGTAACCAAGGTAAGCAGCTTTTTCATATATTTTAAAAAACAGGAATAAATTTTTTATATGCTGATAACCAGTGATGGGTTTATATGGGTTTTAAAGTTTAGGGCAGGGAAAATATGAAATGCCAAAATTCCCAAATTTTTCCGGGCCTTTAACTTTTTAAAACATTTTTTTTTTATAACAAAAATATAAATGAAAATATCTAAGGGTTAAAAGATAAATTATTTTTATTTTTTTAAAACAAATCGGTAAAAAAATTTAAATTTTGATTGTTTCAATTGTTTTGAAAAAAAAACAAAGAAGCTTTTTTGGCCCATTTTCTTTCAGAACATTTTAGTCATAGTTTTTGGGTTTTTAAGTTTAAATTAAAACGACACACATTGAATTTAAACACTAGATATTTATGATTACTATATGAATATCATTTTCATATATCGCTGTTTTATTTCCGTGCAGTGAAGTCAGCATTGGAAATCATGTTTATAATAACAGAACTTTTCTTTGTTTAATTATGACTACATATTTCCATTTCATATACCATTTGTCCTGTCTTTAGAGTCTTTCATGTGCCGTTACTTTTCGTATATCTCACATAGCATTAACTTCGGTCTTTGGTTTGTTGAATATTTATGGATTGATAGGTTACTGTGATACTAACAGGCGATCCTCTGCGCCGTACATCATTTTCTTAAATAATTAGTATTTAAATATTTCTTAAATATTTGTTATCATTATTGTTTTATTTTCAGAGAGAACTTCGAAAATTACAGATGAACGTGGAATAAATGATGCACATTCATTTGGAACATTTATGATATTCGGACTTGTGTGTTTACTTGTTATAGCTGCTACATTTTTCACGGTTATTTATGGTAATATGTCATTTTATATATATAATTATGCAGTCGAACAGTTCTTTGAAAAGTGATTGGTGAAAAGGAAAGCATGTTCGTTCGATAACAATAATAATAATAATAATAATAATAATAGTAATATGATGATGATGATAAAAATAATAATGATGATAATAGTAATTATAATGATAAAAATGATGATGGTGACGATGGTGATGATGATGATGATGATGATGATGATGATGACGATGATACACAGACTGTCGGCAATTTCTTTTCATTCAAAAATGCTTTCAATAGTTTCAACTTTAATTTTCTATGTATGTTTTTGTCAGAATTCGGTTTTAAGTAAATGCAAAAGATTCATTTCAATTCGGATTTAAGCGATTTAATTCAACATCCAAAATTAAATTCCAAGTTTCTTATAGGGTCAAATGGGGAGTATCTAGTCCAAATATTTAAAAGAAAAGAATCATTATTTGAAATGACCATTACTACAAATGAAATTAGACAGGAAATAGTATTCCATGTCAGAAGCTTTTCATTTCATAAGTTAACACTTATTAACCTTCATTAACACTCGCGCATTCTTAGAAAAGGGATCTACATATATATATATATATATATATATATATATATATATATATATATATATATATATATATATATATATATATATATATATATATATATAAAACATCGTTTAAAAATTCTTATACATAAAGCATCTTTTAACAATTGTTACAGAATTACATTTAGATGCACGATGCATTCGTTTAGGAGAGGAAAATCTTACTTTAGCAAAATTTGTTTATCGTTCTTATTATCATAAACTTTATTGTTACTCGCATGGTTCCACTCTATGATTTTATCATGAAATAAGAAAACAGACAATGGTATTCAAAATGTCTTTGCTCTGAGTAATGTGGAAAAAATCTGCTATTCTACTTTTATGATTTTTGTTGTTCTTTTTTTTAGTTGTGCAGTGGGTATATGGTAGAACTCATACCCTTAAGTCTAATCACCACAGACGGCACTCGGCTGCAGCAGGTACTGTAACTTTAGTTAATCTTTTAGAGTGTGTTTATCATGACACATGTTATGCCACTAAAGACGAATACACAGTTCATGTCAAATGTTGAATGTTGAGGGGACATGGACGGTAACTTGCACTTTCCAGTGCCGTCCATGAACAGGCTCAATCAAACTGAGCCTGCAACATTTTCAATTTTGCCGTGTTGGGCTCTGCTTTTCTCTATTTTATCATGTAATAATTAACAAGACGGGCGTTTATTTAAAAAGAAAAAACCCTTATTAGCCAGCTGTAAATAGTTCAATGCCATTGCACTGGTTAATGTTGACAGGACTTTATTTATTTTCTTACACCGAACTTTGAACTTAATGTTAGTGGTGTTTTTGTAACTACATTGTACTTCATAATTTGATAGTAATGATAAAATAAAAAACAAATTGTGACCAGAAGTTGTACCTTCTTATTTTTATTTCTGAGCTATTTTATTACAATATGAGAATATGAATTTGCAAATACAATATGTAGAACATATGATGAAGAATTAACAGTATTGTTTTCTATGACAGGAGCGCACCACCATGTCACTATAAAAACAGAAGAAAAGTTTCCACTCGCCATGTTTAGTCCTCAGCCATCAGGTAATTAAGTTTTCCTTCTAAAATATCCTTTTTCAAAAGAGAGCACAAGTAAGTAGGTAGTCTATGCTCAATGAAGGTCCATCCGCTCTTTCAGGCACTGAGAGTACGTACCTCACAAAAGAAAGCATATTATGTCCTATTAAACAAATGTATCAATATTCTTATAACCAGAAACTCAGTAAAATAACTGTTTCTTAAATTCAAATCATACTCTCCACAAAGCATGCAAATTTGTTTTTCATTTCTTTGTTTAACACATTTTCATTTTTCTTCATCTTTGTCTTTTACAGGTAGCAGACAAAATGCTTATTCCATAAATACAGACTCTATGGAAATGAAAAATATAACACCAAGAAAACGTTCGGCCTCCGTGTCCTCTACAAAAATGCCGGAAGAAGAAGATCTTAAACGAGGCTTACTTGTTTTGCCCATGCGCAAAAGCATTACAATGGCGTTACTAGAAGATACTGATCCATTTTATAAAAAGAGAATACTATTTCTTCCAATACCTTTCGATCACTTTACCAACGAGGTTACTAAAATTCTGAAATCTGTTTTCATGGATGAGGCTGGTATACCGAGCCAATGTTGTTTTGATAGGAGGATATTTCAAGAATACATGACAGGCGATAAGTTCAAATGGTTAGACAATGTTCTTAGCGACCATGATAAAATTCTAATTTTTATATGTTTTACTTCAATAAATCCAGATAAGGTAGATGTTAAAAGAGATTCAATGGCTGAGGAAGTTTTAGACAATCTACTATCAACCAAAGTAAAGTCACATAGACTGTGTAAAGTTGTACTTCTTTACCTAACGGACAGTCCCAACAGTGTTCAAAACGTCGGAGATATTGTAACAGATTCCTTTCATATAAATAGTGCAACTTGTTATGCCAATTTTGTAGGTAATGTGATGAATTTTTGTGGGAGAAATCCTGAAGCTAACACAGCTCTCATCAAAAGAATTACAAACTCTCAGGCGTCCAAACATTTCCTATCGTTCATTGGTAAAAAGGGAAACTCATAATTTTTCTCATATGTTCGTATAAGATTACAGGGTAATTGAAAATGCGTAAAGTATAGAAAAAAACAACAACCAACCAACAATGTTATTAAGCACATCGATTGAAAACATGCAAAGTGTACTGGCAAAAAAGTGAGATGTGAAAATCTTGAATGTCGTCCAATACGTCGGACAGCAAGTTACTGCCAATGTCTAAGCACAGTCAAACATGAAAATATAACAATGCCGAAATAAAGAAGTCAGTAAATACATTGAATATTTTTTGTGACAATGACTGATAAAAAAATATTTGAAACAAATGTACATTACTTCATTGCAGCCCAATATGTTTAAGATAACACACTGACATTATATTAATTTTGAATATAGCTTTAAAGGGCTCTTACAAAACATTCAGATACCTGGATTGTCTTTCATTCTTTAAACAAAACTTCATTTATTTATTTTTTAAACAAATTCGAACTTTTGAAAGCAAATATCTAAAATGGTCTCTTGAGAATAAATCTACACAAATCTGAATTTCGGAGAGTTTCGAATTTCAGTAACAGCCAAGTTTGCTTGAAGGGATATGCTGACGTTATATCTTAGTAAGGGGAATAACTCTGCTTTACCATTCACAAATATGAACATTGTTTACGTCCCTTAATTCGAATAAAAAAATTTGTTACCGTGTGGGGTATGTAAAGTAAAATTGAATAGTAGAGTAAACAAAAGTTTGATTTAAAAGTCACATAGACATCAATCTAAATTTACAACACTAAATTAATTCGATTGTACTCTAACTTGCTCTTATTAATAAAGTGACAAACGCTTAAAGTGCTACTTTTCTCCCCAGATGGCAAATCATTTATTAACTTATTGTATTTATTTGTTTTTCGCTTCATATGTTTTATGTACTTATACTGAACACGTGTAATACTATTTTGAAAATAAAGAAGGTAAATTGAATGCGTGTCATATTTATGAAAACATACAATGTATTTAACATTTGATTGAATACGATTAACTGAAACATCAATTGGAATCAACTCTGTCTCCAACATCACGCCCCCCACACACAATGATCCTGATAAACGGCTCTCTATTCCAACTAACAATCATGATGGTGCTGTAAATACTACGTCATATTTAACTTTGTGCATATTAAAGGAACTCCACTGAGGTCCAAAAGCCTAAATATATATATATATATAAATAATAAAATGTCTTGCAAAGATCAGCCGAGGCATTTAAAAAACAGATAAACAAAAAGATAATCAAGCAATATACTCAGTAATAAATAAAGGAAATGGAATTGGTGTGCTATTATTAGCTCGATTTGAGTGAAAAGCTTTTCAATTATCCAAAGAAATGCGATGGTACACAAATAAAGTATTATAAATATACTTGGGGACTCTGGACTTGTGCACAACGGCATTATTTCTTTAATAGCAAGTCATAATTGTTCAATGAGATTGCCATGGTATTCTTCTGTAATTTAAGTATCAACAGTCTTATTATCTATCAACAGAATTCCTTTAGAGTCCCAAAAAGCGTGCTCATTACCTTGCAGGCTGATGGTTGGGCTCGGAATTTCTTAGGTAGGGTGAACCAGTGCGCTTCCACTGCATGAACTCTTTTTTTTTCGTATCCATATATAGGTCTCATTGTGAAGCCGAGTTCTATTTCGAGAGTGAAAGTCTTTTGGACCGACATTGCACACTTCTAGAAGCTCTTGGCTAGACTACCCTTTGCTGACAATCTTGATTGTTTAGGTTTTCGGTTTCCTACTTGGCAGATACTTTTGATATGCCTTAATGTTCAAGGATAATAGTGTCAACTCTTCTATTAGAAATACCATATTCTTAAGCAAGTTAGGCAACTTTGATTGCACAAGGCTCTCACACAAGGCCGACGGTCCCATATATATATATATAAGTTATGGTAAAAATGATAAAACATTTCAGTGTAAAACCAAATCGAAAGCTATACATGTTTCCATTTATAATCTTAAGGATTACGGCCCTTCAACTGCTGCCAAAATAACAAAATAAACTGAATTAAATTAGTTAACAAGAAGTACATTGATATACATATATGTGATACTTCAAACAAGTGTTGGTGCGACGTCAAATCAACTAAAAAACTCATTCAAACTCGCATAGGCTGGCAAAGGATGAACCACAATACGAATCGCGCCATCCAATTTTCATATCACGATTTGATATGGTAACACAATGGTCATTCTGTACTTCATCCGGCTCATTTTCTGCCCAGTTAGTGTAGTAATCGGCCAATTTAGATCCATCCGTCCATAGAAAGATGTCTTCATTTTCTAAATCTGTTGATCCGATCCATATTTCTTCCCGATCGCCTGGAATCCAAATAAACTACAATATAATTATGTGAATTGTAAAACAAATCAATGTTTATTAAGGTTAAACATTAAAAATCGAAATAGAAGGGACCTTCGAGAACATGAAAACAAATCGTCACCTTAGTGCAAGAACTCAATATCTGCTTCTTTATCTATATGCAGTTATTGAGTTTTTGCACTAAGGTGACGAAATAAAAGAATGAAAACTGCACGCCCACTTTGAGCTAGTCTGTTCATAAGAGATAAATGAAATATGCAGCATTTTCCATCCTGGCACCGTTGTAAGCATCTCCCACGCCGCCTGCCTTCGTAGTAAACAGTATTTCAATTTTCAATACAATAAGTATTGGAATCAATGATTTCTATTGATCGGAAACAAATAACAATACTAAATGTATGAAATATTGAGCAGCAATTTAAAGCTGCCACAAAGCAATTAACATCTGCTCTTGTAAGGAGAATGAGATCCCTTGATAAAAGTGAAAACAAATTAAAAGGTGGGATCTAATGAAAACGTGCAACAACTTAGACGCCAGCTAGTACCTACAGAATACCGTAATGGCCATCGTGATTATACTTTATAATCCAGAGGGCGACAATTCGACAGTGCTATTGTGCGATGACGACAATACGACAGTGCGATGACGACAATTCGATAGTGCGATTGCGACAGTACCATAATGCAATGACGACAGTACTATAATGCGACAATGCGACAGTGCGATGGTGTCAATTCGATTATGCGATGACGACAGTACAAGAATGCGATAGTGCGATGACGACAATACGATAGTGCGATGACGACAATGCGACAATGCGATGGCGAAAAATAAAATAATATCGCATTGTCGCCATCGCACTGTCGCATTGTCGTCATCGCACTGTCGTATTGTCGTCAACACACTGTCGCATTATCGCATTGTCGCCCTCTGTATTTTAACGTATAACCTCGATGACCCTATCAGTATTCCATATGTACCGGCTATGAAGGGTCTATTATGTTATCTTAAATCTTAAAACTGTTCTTCTTATCGCATAAGATACAGGAAGTAACCCTGTATTAATGAAAATGAAAATACATGTATTATCATAAATTCGTTGAGTATTTCCATGGTTACGAGACGGCACCATAATGATCGTTCAAAAACAGAGCGTTTATCGATCACATTTATTAAAAATATATTTGATACAATTACTGATTGTTTGATGATTACCGACAAAAGTGTCAGGTTATGTGGAAAGTTTTAGCTGTGGTGTCAATCCATTTTATAAGTTTACGAACCCGCTAATGGAAGAAGCACTGACCTTCGGTATATATGTTTTTTGCTCAAAAACTAAAAGTCCTTTCAAAGTTTGAAGTACGTTAAAGCACGGAATTCAATAATAGAAACAATAATAGAAACTTGCTATTTAAGCCTGTAAGAACTTGTCACTTTCAAACATTTTGATTAGATTAAAAATAATAGTCACATTAGAAACTTCAACAAAGTTTACGTACTTGGTGGAAAGTGGTCAACTATATACATCTCCTCCTCCATTGATTTTATATCTGCCAAATATCCACCAAGGCCTTCACAATGTCTCTAAAAATAGATATGTACAGAAAGACCACCATTTGAAAGTTCCACGCCTACAAATGAGCCAAAATAATTCAAGAAATTCAATCAAAGATTCAATATTTAGTTAATTATTCACATGCTATGTGCGATTAATGATTGGCAATACCAGATCACCAATATTAATCATACTGTAATTTACTAACTGCAGGAAGGCGTTATATATGCCCATTTTAAATAGATCCTCTTATTTTTGGTAATTTACGCCTGTGATGTGTAGGTAGCCGGTGTGCGCACTTGTTGTCAATATTTTCTTTTCGGTTAATTTTTGCAGTATTTTACTTTCAAATACATTTTCAAAATTTTCGTGAACAATAACATAAATCTGGAGGCATGCTGCTTTAAAGGCAATATAATTAATTATATAAACATTACATAAGTACAACTCATAATCTTGTTAAAGAAATTATTTGGTAACCAATTGTTCTCCAAAACTTTTTAATTTCATTTATTGCGTTATCTAGGTTAACAAAAACAAAAGAAAACGATATCACGGAAGAAAAACGACAAGCTAAATGACTGCCATATGATTCCTTTTTGGCCTATGCCCCACGTTCGCCGGTTTGGACAAATATAAATTTGTATTTAGTTGATTTACTGTGTAGAATACAAGTTTATTTACCAATGCTTTTACAGTTTTCTATTTTTTTCTATTTTGTCACAAATTATGTTAAGTTCAAGACAAATTACTTCAGGCAATAAGCATGTAACTTGTTTTTAATCCATTATTATATCATTATAAAAACAATTTTTGTACCTGCTATAAAAAAGGGCAAAACGTATTCATTTTATGATGATTCTAATTAACTTAGCGCTACAAGATTTTCAGATAACTTCCTGTTATTCATTTTTCTTTATATATCTGTGGGATTTCTACTTATTATCGTATTTTTGATGACTTATGCCCAAGAAATTTTTGTTTTAGATTTGTTTCTCGGCCGTAACTTAGCTTGAGCTCTCCCTTTAACACTGTAAATTTTACAAAGTCTTAGCAAAGGACTGTGTTTCCCGTTTTGGTTGTTTATTCGCCCAACCATAAATATTCCCTGTATGCTTTTCTATTTTTTTTTTTTTTTGTATTGACAGATTTCGATTTGTAACCCAGGCCGAAACATTCCTTTTTTATTACCAAGCTGGTTTAAGAGGAGATGTCGTATAAAGAAAAGTGACGCCGGACAAACAGTGAATAATCACACAAAAGCTCATCTTGAGTAGAAACTTACCTTCGATTCGTCCCAATCCATTCTTTCTTCTACTTTAATATACGCTGAAATAGAGTATGTATTATATAAATAAAGTTGAACAAAAGAGTACATACTTTTAATCAACTTGACGGGCGTTAAGGCATGTTTCATATAAAAAATACCTTCCTGACTAAGAGAAACATTTGTAAAAGGGTGTACATGGCACCATCCCTGACAACACAGAAACGTTTCACTTTTGTAGTAGCATTAATGTTGGTACAGAGCCTTAAACGGACAAGAAAACAAACATGGGTTCACCATGATGAAAAAAAAAATGTGAATAGTACTAAAATGTAATTGACATACATATATTTTATTTTCAGACAAAATCTTATTTCTTGTTTCATTCATATAATTCTTTAAAACAATAATAAAATCGGAGACACTTACTTTGACGCCTGAAATACAAATTGAAAAATCCAGGAAAACTATAGTTATCTTTTGCGATAAATCGTTCACTGCAACCAACGCAGAGCCCAAGCTCAATAAATACACCATAACACAATGGAGTATTTGAACACTTGAGCATACACTTGCTATTGCTTCCGAAGAAATCTATGAATAATGTGGAATCCCCGGGACACGTTGAATCTGAATATTCTCCATGAAAAATATATTTAGCAAAGTTGGTGATACATAGAACAGCCAACATGTTTGAAGAACTGAAATAAGCAAATACGCCAAAAATTAACGATATCTCTTTAAGCGGCATGGTGTTAATGTTAATGTAAATGATATATTTCTTCTCCGCGTGTCTTGAGTGTTTCAACAGGCGAACTGACACGTCGTATGGAGCTCATAATCAGTCAATTAATGTAAAGCTTTTAAATTTATCTTCAATATGGCTATCAGCTTTCATTTATGAGGAACGCCAATAATAGATCAAATAACACTTAGGAAGTGCAAGTTTTATCTGATCATTTTAACATTCTTTTTCATGAGCACGATTCAAGAAGATATATTTTCTTATCTGTCACAGATATAAAGTATTATTCATTAGTAATTGATAAATGCCAAAGTGGTTCTTACTGAAAATTATAATCCTGGACAATTATCCCCCGATCCCAACCCCTCCGGATCGGACACGTGCCCCTAGTCCAAAAAATGCATGATTGGACATCAGGTGGGGATGTATAGGTGAACATTTGCCGCCAGCCCCCACCCCCAATTTGGAAAGTTAATATATTTATATCAAATGCAGTCTTCAATTTATGTTACAATAAAAATGCAACAATAAATGCATTATTTTTTATGTTAATTTGTTTGGAGTAAGTGCAATTTTTAATATTATTTAAACATTATGCTTATGAATACATTTGATATTCATGTAGCAATGAGATCATTCCATCAGCAATAACTTTTTGCTTTGATGAAGGTACGTTTGGGATTTTCAGGATGTTTTATAACATGGTAAAATATATGTAAATTGACACACAGAAAGAGATTGCGTAACACTTTTTACATCAAACATAATGTAATGTCTAAAAGATAAAAACTTTTAAAATGAAGCATTAAACATTTATAAAACAAAAATACAAATACCAATGTTAATCACCTTCGGGATGTGATACCTGCTTTTTGAATTATCTTTTGGAATTAAGGCCTCAAAGTTCGCATGCTTCATCTTTTTGATTGTTTGATTCTGCTAATTATATTTCGTTTGGCGCGTGCGCGTTTTTTTCCTTGAGGACCAAAACAACGCTTTTTTCCTGAGATAGCATAAAAGTATACCATTGAAGATTTTCAGATCGCAATAATTATTCTATGGAGGTATTTTTTTCCAACTAAAGTACATATGTGACTTAATTATCTTAGAAACAACCACTTGTGTTTATTCTCTTTGATTAACGGCAGATTAACAGTTTGTTTAAAAAGAAACCACTAGTCTGGGACAACTTTCTAACACTTCAGATTTCACATCTTTTGTTAAAATTTTATTCATAATGTCGTATATCTTAAAACATTTTAAAATTTTCAAAAACATACTTAAAAACACTCAATATTAATTATGAAACAAAACCATTTTTATCACTATAACACTTTCAAATATTGATAGGTTTAAATGAAATTATGTAACCATTAAATGTTAGGGTGTTTCATCTTTAAGTGCTCATTTTACGACTTTACATTATACTTGTGATATTCATATTTTAGATAACCGGGGCAAAATTATAATTGTATTCCCAATCATAACAAAATAAGTTAGTACAGAGAGAAACAGAAACAGATTAAAGGGAGAGACTATTTCTAATAAAAAAGTCATAGCGCGTGAAAAATACTATGTCTTAGTACATTGAAACTCGCAAAAAGCTGCCAAATTCCAATTTGATGACATGAACTAATTAACATTGTTTATATTACTAAATACATGTATTATTATCAAATAATCAAGATAATTATGTTATCATTAAGACAAATTAAGAATTAAGTAAGAATTAATTTGATTATTTCATTTGCTGGAAAAAAGAAGGAGGTTTTTTGCTTCGTTTGTCAGAACATTCTGTTAGTCAAAGCTAAATTTTGCTTTGGATTATAAGTTACTGACGAACACATTAATTATTAAACTATACATTTATTAGCATTATAATTATGATGATCATTTTCATATACTGCTGGTTTATTATCGTGCAGTGAAGTTAGCATGCGAAGTCATATTTACATTTACAGAAATTGTCTTTGTTTAATTATGACTAGATATGTCCATTTCATATATCATTTGTCCTGTCTTTATAATCTTGCATGTGCCGTTACTTTCCGTATATCTCACATAACATTTTAGGTTCCTCCAAGCAAGCCCAAAATATGAAGTAAACATCAACTTCTGCGGATGTTTCTTAATTCAACATTTTACCGTTTTCATGTTAAAATGTTGAATTCTGCTTAAGCTAGGGGGGACATGGACATTAGTTTGCATTTGACAGTAACATCCATCAAACCGAGCCTACAACCTTTTCAATTTTGCCGTTTTTGACTTTCTAAGGCGATTCTTATTGTCTCTATTCAGCTTCAGATGGGCCGATTGATAGATTACTGTGATACTAAAAGGCGATCCACTGCGCCGTGTGTTATTTCTTAAATATTTGTTATCATTATTGTTTTATTTTCAGAGATAACATCGAAAATTACAGATGAGCGTGGAATAAATGATGCGCATTCTTTTGGAACATTTATGATATTCGGACTTGTGTGTCTCGTAGCTGCTACATTTTTCACGGTTATTTATGGTATGACATTTTATATATAATTATACAGTAGAAACTGTACGTTAAGTGAAAAAGGGTGAAGCACGTAATGCATGCCCCTTCTTTAATTATGATGATAATAATAATAATAATAATAATAATGAATAATGATGATAATAAAATATAATAATAATAATGATGATGATGACGATGAAGATGATGATTATGATGATGATGGTGTTGGTGATGTGGGCATTTTTATGCAATAATGTTTTCAATAATTTCAAATACAATCTGTTTTGTTTGATTTTTGGTTTTGATCATAATTTGATTTTACGTATATGCAATAGTTTATTTTAATTCCGATTTAAGATTTTTTAAATTAAATTTCAAGTTTCTTAAAGATTCTAAATGGAGAAGTTTCAGTCCAAATATTGAAAAAAATGAATCATGATTTGAAATGTTCAATGAATGAAATTGACAGTGTATTATTCCATGCCATAAGTTAAACTTGTTATTTCTTAAGGTGACCTCCATTAACACTAGCGCACTCTTCGAAAGGGGATCGACATGTATATATTTAGCATCATTTAAAAATATTACACAATTACCTTGACATGCACGACGCGCGCAATCGTTAATGAGCGGAAAATCCTACTTTAGCAAAATTTGTTCATCTTTATTAACTTTATTTTTACTCGCAGCATGGTTCCACTCTATAATTTTATCATGAAATAAGCACACAGACAATGGTATTCACAATGTCTTTGGTCTGAGTAATGCGAAATAATTCTGCTATCCTACGTTTATGTTTTTTCTGCTGTGCAGTGGGTATATGGTAGAACTCATACCTCATTCGGCTGCAGCAGGTACTGTAACTTTAGTTGATCTTTTAGAGTGTGTTTATCATGACACATGTTATGCCACTGAAGACGAATACCAGTTTTCATGTCAAATGTTGAATTCTGCTTGAGCCGGTGCTAGGGGACGTGGACGGTAACTTTCACTTTCCAGTACCGTCCATGAACAGGCTCAATCAAATCGAGCATGCAACATTTTCAATTTTGCCGTCTTGGGTTTTCTTTAGGGATTCTGATTTTCTCTATTTTATCATGTAATAATTAACATGACAGGCGTTTATTTAAAAAAATCCTTATTAGCCAGCTGTAAATAATTCGATGCCATTGCACTGGTCAATGTTGACAGGACTTTATTCATTTTCTAAAACCGAACTTTGAACTTAATGTTAGTGCTGTTTTATAACTACTTCATAATTTGATAATAATGATTAAATAAAAAACAAATTGTGACCAGAAGTTGTACCTTGTTATTTTTATTTCTGAGCTATTTTATTACAATATGAGAATATGAATTTGCAAATACAATATGTAGAACATATGATGAAGAATTAACAGTATTGTTTTCTATGACAGGAGCGCACCACCATGTCACTATAAAAACGGAAGAAAAGTTTCCACTCGCCATGTTTAGTCCTCAGCCATCAGGTAATTAAGTTTTCCTTTGTAAATATCATATTTCAAAAGAGAGCATAGGTAGGAAGGTAGTATATGCTTCATGAGGGTTCATCCGCCCTTTCAGGCACTGAGAGTACTGACCTGTCTAAAGAATGTCCTATTAAACAAATGTATCAATATTCTTATAACCAGAAACTCAGTAAAATAACTGTTTCTTCAATTCAAATCATACCCTGCACAAAGAATACAAATTTGTTTTTCATTTCTTTGTTTAACACATTTTCATTTTTCTTCATCTTTGTCTTTTACAGGTAGCAGACAAAATGCTTATTCCATAAATACAGACTCTATGGAAATGAAAAATATAACACCAAGAAAACGTTCGGCCTCCGTGTCCTCTACAAAAATGCCGGAAGAAGAAGATCTAAAACGAGGCTTACTTGTTTTGCCCATGCGCAAAAGCATTACAATGGCGTTACTAGAAGATACTGATCCATTTTATAAAAAGAGAATACTATTTCTTCCAATACCTTTTGATCACTTTACCAACGAGGTTACTAAAATTCTGAAATCTGTTTTCATGGATGAGGCTGGTATACCGAGCCAATGTTGTTTTGATCGGAAGATATTTCAAGAATACATGACAGGTGATAAGTTCAAATGGTTAGACAATGTTCTAAGCGACCATGATAAAATTCTAATTTTTATATGTTTTACTTCAATAAATCCAGATAAGGTAGATGTTAAAAGAGATTCAATGGCTGAGGAAGTTTTAGACAATCTACTATCAACCAAAGTAAAGTCACATAGACTGTGTAAAGTTGTATTGCTTTACCTAACGGACAGTCCAAACAGTGTTCAAAACGTCGGAGATATTGTAACGGATTCCTTTCATATAAATAGTGCAACTTGTTATGCCAATTTTGTAGGTAATGTGATGAATTTTTGTGGGAGAAATCCTGAAGCTAACTCTGCACTTATCAAAAGAATTACAAACTCTCAGGCGTCCAAACATTTCCTGTCGTTCATTGGTAAAAAG